TGTAGCAGCAGAAGCAGCAGCAGCAGCAGCAGCAGCAGCAGCAGGAGTGGCAGTAGTAGTAGCAGCAGCAGCAGCAGTAGTAGTAGTAGTAGTAGTAGTCGTCGTAGTCGTCGTCGTCGTTGGAGCAGTAGCATTAGTTCTTCTTGTTGTTGCAGCAGCAGCAGCAGTAGTAGCGGTAGCAGTAGCAGAAGCAGTCCCAGTCCGATCACTAACAAAACTAGACTAGTGTCACCGCTGTGGTGATTGTCGCTGTTGCTGCTTGTGCATGCGCAAGTGCACTGCCGGGTCATCTGCACATCTCAGCTTTGGCTACATGCTACACCCCTTGGAACTCGACATGTGGCCTGCGCTCGGCCGCCGGCAGCAGCCCAGGGCAGTGCCTGGTCTTTTTGGGTATCTGGACTTCCTCTTCATTCGGTTCTTTTACGACTGTGGTTGCCTTAAAAACCTGAAGCTGGACCCCGAATTTCCCAATGATAACATCCACTCAACCCCGCAGCATCTCCAAACGCACTGCTCAAGAGCACACCTGCAGAACCTTCAAGGACCAATCAGCAGACCAAACGCTCCACGCCAGGTATCCGGAGTTTCGGGGCTCAGGCTGTACTCGTTGTTGGTTGAAAAACTAGAAAGCGGCCAGAGAACTTAATTCTTGAACAGCGCCGGCTTTCTCGAAGGACTCGAAATGATTCGTAAGGCGAACACACGGAGCTTCTCCACTGCCAGGACTTCTGTGGCGCCGAACTCCTTCCAGATCCCAGGACCTTAGGATGCAAAGAAGACGGTATATCGGGGACAGAGCTTGAGAAGAGAGAGAGAGAGAGAGAGAGAGAGACAGAGAGAGAGGCAGAGAGAGCGAGACAAAGAGGAAGAGAGAAGAAGGAAACGAGAGAAGAGTGAGAGACAGAGAGAATTCAGAAAGAGAGAGACACAGAGAGACAGAGAGCGAGCGAGATAGATCGATAGAGAGAGTGACAGAGGGACAGAGACACACCAGATCTTTCGCAGAGGCCGAAAACTAGCATTGGGAGAGCTTCGCAACTTTCCAGACTTGGGGCCTTTTGCTTTCCTTATACCTTGCTTTTGCATCTAGAGTTGCGCATGGGTGGCTCTCTAAACCCGGGCTTCTTTTTAGGCTGTCACGAGCCCTAAACCCTAAACCCTAAACCCGGTTTAGGGTTTAGGGTTTAGGTTTTATGGTTTGGGGTTTTAGGTTTCTCACGAGAATCTCTCAGGTTTACAAGAGGGACGCCCGGGAAGCTTTGGAGAGCCTCCCCCAAATGGTGCACAGGGGACCGCGGGGTCCTGAAATCTCAATGCTTCAGCCAAAGCCGGCACGGAAACTAGGTTCTTCAGTAGTACCCTTTTGCCCTTTTTCTTTTTGGGTTCCCTTATGAAAAACCAAAAAAAATAACAAAAAAGGGTACCCTTATTGTCCAGGGGCTACTGGGGAACCTAGGAAAAATGTCGGGTGAACCCCCGGCAGAAACGCAGGAATCCTGCGTCTGAGGATGCCTCCAGCAGCACAACTTAAAGGAAACTTATAGGGTTTAGGGTTTAGGGCCTAGGGTTTAGGGGTTTAGGGTTTAAAGGAAACTACAGGTGGGGAGTTTAGGGTGTATATAGGGCTCCTATAAGGCTTCTATAAGGTATATATAGATCTTCTATAAGGCTCCTGTAAGGGTAACTACCCACCTGAAAATGTCCTAGAACAACACTTCAACCCGCAACCCTAAACCCCAAGTGCCCCATCCCCCCAAACGCCAAAAACCCTAAAACCCCCAAAGCCAAGCATCGTTCAGCCCCTAATGACCCTAACCAAAGAGGTCCTGCGGGAGTGGCGCCATGAACTTATCGTCGTCTATCCCGAACCTAGAGAACCCAATACACCTTAATTAAGGAATATACCTGAAATTACAGGGGCCTTATTTTTTTTTATAATTTTAGGTACATTCCTTAATTGAGGGGTATTGGGTTCTCTGGGAAGGCTCCAGTGTGCCTACATATTGTATATAAGCACTTGGGGCTCAACGGGCTGCCCGTATAGGTACTTTAAGGCCTAAGTATATACTCTATGGGTACATGGAGCCTTTGGTTATGAAGTCAACAGTTAGCTATAGTTTCCCTGATAATCCAGAACTTTTAGGGTTCCTGATGCTGATTTCCTTAACTATGGATGTCCTTAAACATGTAGTTTTGGCTGGTTAGAGTTAGGATACAGCATGTGTAACTGCCCCGCAAAACCTGGACCTGTCCAGTGTATTTACGATAACTATATAGGTCCCAAGCCGTACAATATAGGGGCCGGAAAAAGTAGCATCTTAGTTTGCTACGTACTTGCCCAACAGTCCTACACCCTAAACCAACACTATAGACCTCAACTAGGTAGAACTAGTCCAACCCTAAAGGTCCAAGTACCTATTATAATCATATACTCTCCATAATACTAACCTAGATAACTACTATCCTAAAACCGAGTACCTCATGATTGGGTCCTTGGGAGCCATAGATTAAAATCCTAGACCTAGGTCCTGTCGCCCGGACAGTCGGGTGCGAGACATCCCAAAAGGTTCGAGTGAAACTCGTGCCGTCGTGCTCCCTGAAGCGCAAGAAGCAGATCGTTCTCCGAGCAAACAAGGGAGAGGAGGGATCAGGGTTCAGGGTTTAGGGTTCATAGGGTTTAGTGTTTAGGGTTTAGGGAGGGGGAAGAGGAAGGGTTCCGGATTAAAAGTCAGGGTTGTAGGGCTTAGGCACTTTGTCTGCAAATCCGTGAGAGGAATGTCCGAACACAGGAGCCTCGCTTCTTCGTGTAGTCGACTCTCTTCGCTACATTCGAGCATACAAAGCATTTCCTAGCCTTGCTCGAGCCGTTTAGACTAAGCCCTACACCCCTAAACCGCCATGCACCCAGGCTTGCGGATGGAAAGCTGCTTTGCTAAGCTCAGACATGAAGCTTGCACACGCCTCTACACACAAAAAATAGGGGTCGGAACGGTTCGTTTTGCTTTTGGGTCTTAAGTCTTAAGCTTTAGGGCTTTAAAGGTTTTGGGAGTTGATCTTGGAGGAAACTTTTGGGTTTTCCAGCAATTTTTGCAGTTTCGGCCCACCATGTGTAGGGATCTTTGCTGAGTGGCCTCCCATGTACATGGTTCTCTAAATTCGGATCCCTGTTTAGGGCTCCTTAAAGGGGAATCTATAAGGGTTTCTCTAAGGGTACTACAAGGGACCCGTTCTATGTGGTAGTTCTCTAAATTCGGGTCCGTTTTTAGGTCCCCAGAATAGAATAAGCACCACCTTAATCTACCAAAACCTACTTCTTTGTAGGTTCTTATTATGAACCATGGGATTTATAGGGACCCTACAAAAAAGTAGGTTCTGGTGGGTATAAGCAGGACCTTAAAAGGGACCCTGACTTAGAGAACTCCGTACATGGCCCGCCTCCTGCCGCGTTCTACCGGCTGCAGGCCTGCGTGTCTTGACCATACTTGGAGGTCCAGGGTACTTAGAACTCAATTGTAACTGTACTTATAAGCTACTTAAAAACCCCCTAAGTGGGGTAACCTAGGTCATAATTAGATTAGAAGTACACTTATAATTAGGTTATAAGTACTCTGAACCGCCAAGTACCGTCAGAGCTAGCTGGTGTGGGATTCTGGAGCTCTTATAGGATACCTCAAGATAGGATCCCTTGAAGCAGCCCCTGTAGTAGCCTTATAGACCCCTGCCCATAGAACCTTTAATTGAGGAATATACACCTTAAATCATAAGAATAAGGCCCCTACAATTAAGGTCTATTCCCTAATTAAGGTATTGGGTTCTCTGGGTAATACGGAGCCCATGGAAGCTCCAAGACGCACCCTGAGCCCATCCCAAGGTCCGCAGAGGTCGGAGTCGGGATTCCATTGCACCGGGCGATGTGTGGCTAGCAAGACCTTTCGACCCTAGGCCCTAAACCCCAAATGAACACACCCTAAGCCCTTCAAACCCTAAACTTAAGCCCCTCAGCCCTAAACCCTAAGCCCTAAGGATGTCGTAGGCCAAGGGTGCCAGGTTTTCAGGTCTTCGGAAGCTCGTACGGTTGTTGCAGCCTTCAACTTTAGGGTTTAGGGTTTAGGAAGGCCCGAATCTAGGATATTTTCAGGTGGGTAGATACTGTTATAGGAGCCTTGTAGAAGGTCTATATACCTTATAGAAGCCTTATAGAAGCCCTGTATACCCTAAACTCCCCACCTGCAGTTTCCTTTAACCGAAACCGATGCACAGGGCAAGCCGAGCTGGAAGGGAAGGTGCCCAGAGGTCAGAGTTCTATTGATTTTAAGGTGATTTGGGAGTTCTCTGCCTTCTAGGGGTCCTTCAGAGCCTCTTGAGGCCCCTCCAATGTTGCCAGTTGAGCTGTTGAATATCTGCAACGGTTCTTGACCTTAAAGTTTCCAATCCCGAAACAGCTCGCCAAACGCCAGATCCTCAAAGTAACCCGAAACTCTAAACCCTAAACCCTCAACCCTTCACCCTAAACCCTAAACCCTAGACCCTTCACCCTAAACCCTAAACCCTAAACCCTAAACCCTTCACCCTAAACCCTTCACATTTGTGTCCCCTTTCGGCAGACCCAAGTCGGAAGTCCTAGACCCGAGTTCCTGAAGCCCGAAGCCCTAAACCCTGAACCCTAAACCCTAAAAACCCTAAAACCCTAAATACCCTAAAAACCCTAAACACCCTAAACACCCTAAAAACCCTAAAGCCTAAACTCCCTAAGCCCTAAACCCTAAAAGCCCTAAAAGCCCAAATCCCTGCGACCTGGAAAAGGCGCCCTTAATGAAAACCCTCAATGCTAGTTCTTGCGCCCATTGCCCAACACCTCTAAGCTCTACTAGGTTCCCCAGTAGTATACCCTTTTGCCCCTGTTTTATTTGGGGGGTTCTCCTTATTAAAGCCGAATCCTAGAAAAAAAAGGGTACTGTACCCTTATTGTTAAGGGGTTACTGGGGAACCTAGTCTAAATGACGCGTGGCCTCTTGGCCTTTGCCTTGGCTGCTGCAGCTGGGCTTGCCTCTGGACAGCAGACGGGCGGAACAGGAGCTTATCCAGCGAAGTATAACCTCATTGACCCAGATCCGTCCTGCAGGCAGGACAGGGAAAAACCCTAAACCCTAAAACCCTAAACCCTAAGCCCTAAACCCTTAAGCGTGCATGTTTCTTTAAATCGGTCGGTTTCCAGGGCTGGTACCAAATGAATCCTGTAGTTTCTGCTTGGCGGTTTGCAGTTTCGGGATTCGTGGCCGGAGGTGTTGGGTTTCGGGTTTAGGGTTTAGGGCTTAGGAGGTGTAGGAGCTGGGGCCCCTAAAGCCCAAAACCCTAAACCGGAGCAGGTATGCTTCAACTGTGTGGACAGACACTGGGTTCTGGAGTACCATACTTGAATACTTTTTTATTGGACCTGTTCCTTTAAGGCACTGGGTTCTGGAGTACCATACTTGAATACTTTTTTATTGGACCTGTTCCTTTAAGGAACCATGATGAAATAAAAGTCTGTCCTTCTGTCTCCCTGGTTACTTCAAAGTCCAGGACAAAGGGCCTCAGTGCCCAATATATTCAGGGGCAGCCGATGTTGATGTCATGGCCGCCCATCCGAATGTCATGGAGAGGAGACGCCAGACCTAGAACCCCTAAATAGGGTTTAGGGGGTAGGGGTTTAGGGGTTTAGGGGTGTAGGGGTTTAGGGGTTTAGGGGTTTAGGGTTTAGGGCTTTAGGGCTTTAGGGGTTTAGTAGGGTGTAACAGTCAGGTTCTTCAAAGCCTCAACCCATGAGGGTATCTAGGGTTGAGGGTTTGGGGAGTAGGGTTTGGGGTTTGGGGTTTAGGGTTTAGAAGATGTAGAGCATGCTCAGAGTGCTACGGTTGATGATGTAAATCCTGCGTTACCCCTAAAAAGGAATATACCATAATTCCCATAGCTTCGGGTCCTTAAGGTAATGCACGATTTATATCATCAACAGTAGCATGTACGACTTGTCAGACCGTGCAACCCACCCATGTCTTTTGGAGCTTTATATGGGTAGTTTTCTATATTAGGGCCCCTTTTTAGGGTGCCGTCGTACTTTGGGGGTTTAGGGTTCAGGGTCTAGGGTTCGGGGTTTAACTGCGATGATCCCCCTTGCAGAGAGGACGCTGTATGTGATGCGGAACATGGCTCGCTTGTTCCCTACCTTTTATGCTGCGTCGGAGTGGGGATGGTCTTCAGCCACATACAAGGACGCCCTAAACCCTAAACCCTAAACCCTAAACCCTAAACCCTAACCCTAAATCCTAAAACCTACTTCAGCCACATACAAGGACGACTGCCATCAATCGCACTCACCGGAGCGACCCTACTATTTCATGTCCGAGGCCGTTCAGGCAGAACCTTGAGGGTTTGGATTTTAGGGTTTAAGGGTTCAGGGCTTAGGATTCAGGGTTCAGGGTTTAGGGTTTACGATTTAGGCGGTTTAGGGTTCAGGGTTTAGGGTGTAGGGTTCAGGGTTTAGGGTTTAGAGTTTAGGGTTCAGGGTTTAGATTCGGTAGCCTGTACGGTTTCTGAAAGCTCCTCTGGGAAGAGATTAGTCGAAGGAGGTTTTCGTCTCTGAGACGTTGTGTTCATATGGGTGGTTCCCTAAATTCTAGGTCCCCAATATAGGACGGCACCCTTATAAAAGGGACCCTAACTTTGAAAACTACCCATATGGGCTTGCCTTTTTTGTCCGCAGGCTGCGAGGCTCAATGCCTTCTCTGGGGCTACGACATATTCAGGATGCAGCAGGAGTGCGTGTGGATCTGCTTCTTCACATTTCACTTGCTGCGACTACTGTGAATTCAACATTTGGGCTCAGTGCGGCTTCAAGTACCGCACGCGCGGCATCGTCCAGCCCCTTTTCTCCAAGAATGCGTGGAATGATGTTGGCTCGGAAGGGATCTGGGGCCAGAACACGGCTTTCATTTCTTCTGCTGCGCATTGCGGCCAGAACTTTAACCCGGCCTACGACCACCAGGGTATCGGCTTCTACCCAGGAGGGGCGACTACCATGGTAGGCATCAAGGACACGGGAGATTGGGAGGATCATGTGTTTCCACATGCCACGCACTTTGACTGGGATTCCTCCGATCATTTCACGTTCTTGGTACAGTGGTTTGGCAAGAAGCAGACGGTTCCAAGAAGGGTGGTGCAGCTCTTCCTCCTTTATGGTGGGGAGGCTACTGACATGGGCAGCCCTTTTGCTGGAGATGATGCTTCAGGCTTCTTTGTGAAGCAGAAGCCTCTGACTGCTACCTGCGAGCCCTGCGCCTTCATGGCTCAGGACCAGATCGGAGAATGGCATCGCCTTCCCGAAGAGAAGGACCTGCAGCCTCAACTGTACGGCCAGGGCTTTTTATTGCGCAACGTTGCCAAACCCTAGAATCCGTAAACCCAAGCGAAAGTTGCATCATTGCCATAAAACCATAGCCCAATTGACCTTCATCCACCAAGGCCCCGCGCAAAGCCCCAACTTTTCGGCCTCAGTCGCAGATATAGTTAGACCCGAAGGCCCGATGTCAAGAAGCCTCGACCTATCAGGGTTTAGAGTTTAGGGCTTAGGGTTCAGAGTCTAGTTTTTAGGGTTTAAACGGTTTAGAGTTTAGGGTTTGGTTCCCTAATTAAGCCAGCTACTCTTATCATGTTACAGGTTGCAAGTGTTACCATGCTTCCTGCCGTGACTGCGACTGCGAGCTCGACGACAGCCACGACCACAACGACGACCACTGCTGCAACTACCACGCCTCCTCCTCCTACTTCATTCCTACCCCGAAACCGACCCGACCCCTACCCCAGCCCCCAACCCTACCGCCACTCCTCTCCCTCAGGCTCCTCTTCTTCCTCCTCCTCCTCCTCTGCCTATCCATACCCTGCTGCTACCGACCCCAACCTGCAGTGACGGGCACTCTTGTTGCTACTGTCGCCCGTGGGAGGAATATTATTTCGGAACGGTCAGCCAGCCTCAAAGCCGCCGGGACCGAACATGGTACAGACTTCCTGTCCGTCTGCGATGCTGGCAGTTGAAGGGTGATGGTTAGAGGTCTATACATTCAAGTCATTCAAGAGTACAGGATTGAGGCTTCGACGTTCAGAGTTGCGTGTTATGTGTTCGAGACCCTAAACTCCAACGCGGAACCCCGAACCCTAAAGCAACCTATGTCTCAGGCTTGCTGGATGGATCTGCAGCATGTGCGGAGAATCACTACTACTTCGACGGGTCCGAATGGAGTGCCAACGGGGGCCCCGGGCTCGCCAACAACAAGACCGAAGCAGGTGGCTGTGCGGCTTGGGCTGGACTACCAATCTCCAACCCATAAGAAACCGCCAAAAATCCTAAACCCCTAAACCCGAAACCTTAAACTCCTAGACCCTATAGTCCCTAACCCACCCTAATTACGTCCTAAACCCCTAAACCCGACACCTTAAACTCTAAACCTTTTAAACCCCTAAACCCGACACCTTAAACTCTAAGCCCTCACCCCCTTCAACCTCAACCCTAGCCCCCCAAACCTCCAACCCTTGAGCTTCAGTCTTCGCCCCAAAACTCTCGCGCCCGCCTGATCCTTGAATGCCACATCCCAAACCCCTCGAGCCTTCCCAGAGAACCCAATACACCTTCATTAAGGAACAGACCTTAAATTATAGAGGCCTTATGATTATGATTTAAGGTATATTCCTTAATAAAGGGGTACTGGGTTCTCTGGGTTCCACCCCTAAACCTCAGATCCCAGATCCCAAACCCGAAAGCCCAAAGGGGTTCAGGGTTTAGGGTTTAGGGCAGATCCTAAACCCCAAAGCCTAAAGGGTTTAGGGTTTGGGGGTTCAGGCGACCCGAAGGCCCAAACCCGAAGCCCCTAAACCCTACAGACCCTAGGCCCTACAGACCCCAAGGTTACACTCTAAGCTCCAGGGGCCCTAAGCCTATGGACCCTAAACCCCTGAACCCTAAGCCCTAAACTGAATTGCCTGCAGCCCTCTCCCAGACCCCGGGAAGGATCTAGACAGTAGATCCCTTAAGGGGGGGTTCCTGGAAAGTACTTTTTAGTAGTCCCAAGCCAAGGGTTCTAATTTCTCCCTAAACCTTGAACCCTAAACCCTAAACCGAAGGGGGTTCTGCTCTTCCCAAGCCGAGGCAGGCTGCAGCAAGGCCCGGCTGCTGAATGAGCTTGCCGCAGATTTGCAGGCCAGACCAAAACATGAGGGCCTTTGATAGTTCACAGAAAGCTTCGGGGTGGGGGATAAATCTTACCAATAGAAATATATATATATATACACATACGTATATTTTTTGTGGTTATATATCTTTAAATTCGACCTTGTTGCACTTGCTTACAAATCTAGATATACTTGTTTATTTATCTGTTTGTTTATTTGTTATCAAACTGCGGTCAAACTGCTTATATAACATGTGGGTCATAGGGTAGTATTAGTTCTAATTTGGATACTGCCCCCGCTCACTGACAGTTGAGTAATATTCATAATATGGATATATAAGGCGCTGAATAGTAGCCCTACTATAGACTGTTACTGTATGGGGGCAGTACCCAAGTTCTAAGTGTCTCGCTCCATTGTGGTTCCTTTTTGGGATTACCTTATACAATCCTAAATATGAACCACAAAATGGAACTACCATGCAGCCTATGGGTAGTTCGGATTGTCTCCAGGCTGGCAGCGGAGGCTCCGATGCCAATGTGTCCCGCAGCCGATCAGGAGGAGTCTCGTTTTGGCTCCTCTCTGCTTTGTTGCTCTTCGGAGTACTGGGTTCTTGTTAGGGGATCTAGTTTAAGTCACCATAATGAGGAAACCATAGTCATAGTATTTACTATAGATCCGTATAAAGGTAACTTTAAAAATCCCCTAACAAGAACGCTGATTAAGCAGGAGGCTTTGAAGACTTGGACATGTTATGCCTCTGGGTTCCTTCCTTTCTTTTCTTTGCACTCACGGACAATTTGTATGGGTCCTTGCGCAGCGTGAAGATCTACAGCTAAACCCTAAACCCTAAACCCTAAAAAGGGAAGACTGTGGACTTAGAGCCTAGATGTCTCAGCAATCGCTTCTGGCAAAGTCCAGAGCCGTTTCGAGGGCAGGCGCTGCAAGATCTGGGCGCTGCACAAATGGGAGGTCCCGAAAATTAGGGGGTGCCTTATTTTGGGGTCCTTATAATAAGGATCCTACTATTTAGGGTACTATATTAGGGTCCCCTATTTTCGGAAACCCCCAAATGATTCCGGCGACCGGAAAATCCACGCACAAGGCTGCCTAGTCGAATATAGCCTGAGTTATTCCAAGTGCTACTCTGTACTATCGACTCTGAAGCTTGAAAACCTGTCCCAGTCATGCAGGCCACTGTGTTCTGGTCTCCAGTTCCTTTACAGTGAGTCCTTCAGAGACTGTTCAAGAAGTGAAGTTCACTAAACCCTAAACCCTTAACCCTTAAACCCATAGCCTAAACCCCCTCTTTTGCGCAACGCAGTGTTTCGCTGAGAACTCCCTACCTCTCTCGAGTGTGGTTCGATGAGATTGCGGAAGGGTCGGTAGTGCTGTACTATCGTATACGGTAGTATACTATAGCATATTCTACTCTACTGTGCGGTAGTTTACTTTACGATATCGTACCATACTATACTGTACCATGCTGTGCTGTACTGTACTATACTGAACTATGCTAGACTACACTATACTGTTCTGTTTGTATTTCCTCATGCTAAGTTATATACCGAAAAGCCGCTCTTGGAGTGTTCGATAACCAACCGCACGCTGAAGAGTTGCTTCCCGTCGAAACAGTTCCTACTGTTGATGATAAAAATCCTGCACCACCTTAAGGAACCCCCTAAACTATGGGAGTTATGGTTATATTCCTTATTGTGGGTCATGCAAGATGTATATCATCAACCGTATCGCCTTAATCCTCCCTGTGCCCGACCGAAGCCCCACCCACTCTGCTGCGCCGATGTGGAAGATCTCATCAAATTGTCCCTGCACCCTTTACAAAACCCTAAACCCTAAACCCTAAACCCTAAACCTTTAACCCTCTGTAACCCCTCCATGAACCCTATAAGCCCTAAACCCCAAAGATCCACAGCCCTAAACCCTAAACCCTAAACGCCAAACACTCTAAACACCCTAAACACCCTAAACCTCCTAAAACCCTACACCCTAAACCCTAACAATCTCATGACAGGCAGACCCCATAAGCCTCAGCACTCTATAAGCCTCTACCCTAAGCCTTAAACCCTAAACCCTAAACCCTAAAACCTTACCCTAAACCCTAAACCCCTAAACCCCTAAACCCTAAACCCTAAACCCTAAACCTTATACTCCCAAAAAGCCCTCAACTCGGGCCAGCCTCCCGAATGCCCTCTGTGCCCTCATCGCCTAGCTCCCCAACAGCATGGGTTTAGGATTTTGGGGTTTAGGGGTTTGGGGATTTAGGATTTCGGGGTTTAGGATTTAGGGGTTTAGGGGTTTAGGGGTTTAGGGTTTAGGGGTTTAGGGCTGTAGGAGTTTAGGGTTTAGGGTTTAGGGATTTAGGGTTTTAGGGCGTAGGGTTGCCAGAGCCAGTGCAGTTAAGATGCCACCAATTCCTGTTTGCGCTCTTACCCTAAACTTCCTAAGCCCCATGCACACCCTACATACTTGAAGCCCAAGGTAAACGTTATTCTTGCGAGACTTGATGCAGAGGGTTTTACATTATGTTCACACATGAAAGCCTTCATGCCATACTGGGACCTGTTCGTGCTGCCTTGCTCCTCAATCCGCCTGAAGGCTGGCCCACCTTCTCTGCAGACATGGGCGCGTTTGTTTGCCCGGCGCATTGCTGCTCTTGACCTGGAGCCGAAAAAGATGGGAATGCAGTGCTTGGCCTCGAAGGCCTAAACCTGAATCCCAACAAAAGCCGAAGACCAACTTTAGGGTCTAGGGTTCAGGAACTTGTTTCAGATCTTGAGCATCTTTACCTTTTCAACTCCTTTAGTCAAGCCACCAGACTCCTTATTCAAAAGTACGCACACTGTCCAGAATGGTCATGCTTGGGAAGAAGCCACAACCAAAGGAATCATCATGGTCATCGTCCTCCTTGCCACTCTCAGCATCATCATCATCGTCGTCGTCGTGGTGAGTCATTGTAATGATCATTATTATGTTCATCACCTTCACAGTCTTCACCAGCATCAGCATCACCATCACTACGAGAAGGATCATCGTCACCATCAACATGATCATATGTAGGACTCTCGCCAGGCTCGCAACATAGCTCCTGATTTAGCACATGTAATCCGGCCGGTTTGTCAGTGGTCTGCGGCACAAGTCGGAAGCTAAGCTTGTTTCATTTACTTCGTTATGGGGGAAGGTTAGGCAATGAATCAATAGCCGAATAAGATTGGTTGTAGGGAAACAGTCCGTGCGGTTGCGATGAGACAAGTGTAAGCCACGATGAAGAAATATGCTCGATCAAGGAGAAGCTGCTGGGATCATGAAAAGGATGGTAACGCTGATTAGGCTGCTACTGCCGAGAATGATACAAAATGATGGTCGGGGGACGTTTCATAGATAATGGTGCTGACGTCGCTGGCGATTCGGATGAACGTGATTCCTGTTCCGGTATGTAGCATTACCTGCCTCGGTTACAGCGGGCTCTCAGCGACACGCCAGCGAAGTAGTAACGCCCTTAGCGACCTCTTTTCCCAAGCATGATGCGCGTCGGGCTCTCAGTATTTCAGGGCTTTGCGGCTCAACGCCTGGAACCACGGACTCGGGTTTAGGGCTTAGGCTTTACACTTGTTTTTTCCTAGTGAGTGTTCGGTCTGAGGTAGCCCTGAATCCCGAACCCGAAACTGCCCTAAACCCTGAGCCCTACAAGCCCCTATCCCCTGAATCCTCAATGACAAGCCCAAACCATAACCC